TGGGGGGGTGGGGGTGAGGGGATCTCTGAGGTTTCCAGACTTTCCTAATTTTCCACTCTCTTAGTCCTGACACTCCAACTGGGACCGGGGTCCAATTTCCAAACCCCTGAACAACAGTTTCTCAAAATAAGGAGCTGGGGCCCTCTAGGGGGAGCATTTTTAAATTTTGGAAAATTTGGGTCGAGTCATCAAGCTGTTGGTTTTTAGTCATCGACACCAGACACCTGCTGGAACGATGGACAACTGTCTGAGAACATCACTGGACTGGACTGACCTGTCCAACATGGCCGCCACACTCACAGCAGCCAGACCACACCCACCTGACACCTGGGCCGGGGGGGTGAAGGTCAGTGGGGGTCACTTGTACCTTCTCTGACCTCATTATACAACAACAACAACAACAACAACAACAACAACAGGCAGATGATCCAATCACGTCGTTGGATCAGTTTCAAGCTGGAGTTTTTTTTTTTTTGACCTTCTCTGGAACTTTCCAGACGCTGTGAGGTCACCACGTGTCATAACGGCCTCATTACATCTTATTAATTAGTCCAGTCAGGTCCAGGTTCAGACCTTGGTGACGGGGGAGGTCAACAGAGAGGGAGGGGTCACACCGAGGGGCGGGGTCCATAAATGTGACCACGTTTTACTGCAGTGCAGTTTCATTTTACTCTGGATTCAAAAGGAGCAGAAATAAATGAAGACGTTTATTTTAAACGCTCTCTGTGTCACAGTTTTAAACCAAAAAACAAAAGTTGTCGTGAACAAAACCAAAGAACTCCAGGAACCAGAGGCTGTGGGATCCTGGTGTTTACAGACTGATAAAAAGTCTCCGTTTAATTAATTAATTACGGTGCCGTTTTTTTCCACAGAGAACTGTGGCAGAAACTTTCAATTCGACGTTAGAGAAAAATCTTTTATGCTAAAAGCCCCGCCCCCTCCCCTCGAAGAAACAAACAAATACCCGACTGACGATGACTTCCCTCGCAGCAGCTCCAGAGTCTGAATCTAATTAGACGCCAGAGTTGTGATCACAGTCAAGTGAATTATGGCAGCGTGAGAACCCCCTGGAGGACCAATGAGGCGAGGCAGCGCCGCCGCGCTCAGGCTGAACGCACGCTGCAGGGAAATGAGGCTTTTAATGTCTGTGGGAATTTGTTTGATGGAGAAAATAATTAAGATTTTAAAAATCGGAAATGAACATTTGTTGGATTATTATCGCTGGTTTAGAAACCGTAGAAGACTCGATCTTCAAAACGTACGGAACCTCCAACGGTTCCAGTGGAACAGCATCCCATAATACTCAGAGGACGTAGCTTAGAGTTAGCCAAAAACAGACGAGAGTTAGCAGAAGATTATAAAACCGAGGACGGTAAATGAAAATAGCCAAACGCCGACAGAAAATAGTGACTAAAGGTTAGCCATAACAGCTAATGTAAAACGCAGAGTTATCGATTAGGGTTAGCCATAACAGCTAATGTAAAACGTCAGAGCAGGACAAAGGTTAGCCACAGTTTGGAGGTTAGCCGTGGCTAACGTCGTCAAACACTGTGAACAGGAAGGAAACTGCCCCGGGACACGGTGAGGGGTGAGGTTTATTAACACCAGAGCAGACAGACAGGAGCAGAGGTTACAGTGTCAACAGATGACCACAGGGTGGAGCCAGTGAAAGAAATAAACCATTTAATGATTGGTTTTGACCCCCGCCCCCCAGGTTGATCACCATCCTCATAAACACCTTCAATATCACTTCACTTTGTACGTCAGTAAAAGTCACAAAGACCAGAGAGCAAAATTAAAAACAGATTCTCCTGAATGTTTCAGCCAACAGTCACCATGAACACAACACGGTACAGTCACACCACTCTGGTCCAGGTCCAGGTCCAGACTCTGGTCCAGGTCCAGGTCCAGACTCTGGTCCAGGTCCAGGTCCAGACTCTGGTCCAGGTCCAGACTCTGGTCCAGACTCTGGTTCTGTCAGAACCTCACATCAGCCCTAACGTCAGGAACGTTCCACCGACGCAGGAGGTGAAACGGGATCAGATCCACCATCAATCAGTCGCCCGGTTTATACTGTAGAACACTGTTTCTCAAACACTGGGTCGGGCCCCTCAGGTGGGTCGCAAGAGTTTTTGTTTTTTTTGGGGTCGTTCTGCATCATGTTTCCTCGGAATTTATGAATAATGATTATTGACTTGGGTCGTGAAAGTTTGTGACTTTTAAAATATGGGTCCCAAGAAAAAAAGTCTGAGATTTGTGACCCAGATTCTGAAAAACGTGGGCCAGAATATCCTGTTGTTTGGGGCGCAGGTGACATCACTTGTTTGGCACAGTTTTTTCGTCTCAACAATGTGACCAGGTTCACACGTGGGCCGAACCTACGCACTGGTATGGAAGTAAGTCTCGTATGGGATTTGGAAATGGACCAGAAGTGGACGAGGTCTGCTGAAGATTTGGACCCAGATTTGCAGAATGTGGGCCACATCTGAGACGATGAGTTAAAAATACAAAGTTGGTTATGAACAGAGATCTTCCACCGTTTGTTTTGACCCAGAGTCAAATCAACACATTTACACCACGACAGCAGCAGCGTTGGCAACAACAACATCTACAATAAACAACAAAGGCAACAGCAACGACAGCAACAACAACGACAGCAACAGCAACAACGACGACCACAGTTGTGCTACAGTGACACAGCACCTCGGAGTACTTATATATGTGTGTATATATATATTTAAATATATACTGCAGATGATGCACGTCGTTAACACCACAGCGGAGTCAAACGCCAACACTGGCTGTTCCGTCGCTACTTTTTATTTTGAACACCAGGTGGTGCCAAAGAAGATCCAGTCGACGACAACAGAAACTACGTCCTTGTGTTTTTTTTGGAAACCGAACATGTCACGACAACAGAAACTACGTCCTTGTTGTGTTTTTTTTGGACGTACGGAGTCTGCAGGTTTTTTTTTTTACTCCGTACTTGAATACTGGAGATAAGTGATAACGTCCTAGCATGGTAGCATACAGGTATAAAAACACAGAGGATACGGTCGGTCGGTTGGTTGGTCGGTCAGTCGGTCGGTCAGTGCTAAGCTGAAGGACACAACAACGTAGCAGTTAGCAGTTAGCAGCAGCGGCGAGTCAACAGGTTTTTGTTTGTCGTTGTCCGTTTATCTTTTTTATTCTTTTTATTCTTCTGTCATTCTTCCAACTCTACAGGTAGGCATCAGTCACAGCGCCACCTGGTGTTGGCCTTGAATCAGAGTTTCTCTTCTCTTTCCTCTGGTTAATGACAATGTCACCATCACAGCAGAGACCAGTGAAGTCTGATTGGATGCTGAGCAGGTGGGCGTGAAGCTGATGGAGGCGACGTCGACTGATTGGGCGGAGAAGGAGCCTCCCTCCGACCCCGGGGTTCCTCCTCCACCTCAGCTCCTCCCCCTCCGACGCCTCAGACATAGATGGCAGTCCGTGAAATGACAGATCCGTCCCTCTGAGACTCCATGTCGTCGTCCAGGTACACGTCCATCTCTTCTCCATGTCCTCTGCCCATGTGATAGGCCGGCGGGAGAATGTCCCCGCCCCCTCCAAACCTGTCGTACTGCTCCTCCTCGTCCTCCATGCTGTCGTCCATGTGGAACTTCCTCCTCTCGGCCTCACCCACGTCCCCACTGAGGAGGATGTCGTGGGCGGAGGGAGGGTTCCCGGCGGAGGGGGGGCGGTGATGATGGTGGAAGTCGTTGGACTTTTCCGACAAGGCGCCCGAACCCTCGCAGCTCTCCCTGTAGGCGTAAACGGCGGGTCCGTTGTTGTTGGCTCCGGTGCCGTTCTTGTTGCCGAACAGCAGACGCGCCTTGTTGCCGTAGTCTCCGCTGTTGCTTCCGCCGCTGCCTGTCGCGATGGAGTCGCCGCTGCTGGGGTAGCCGTGACGGGGCTGACGGC